AGGTCCTGGTATTATAAGAATGGATTGAAGAATTATGAATAAAATTGCAAGAGAAGTTTGATGGAAGAAGATAATATATATTTTTATAAACAAAAAGGCATTGCTGAAGTTTATTAATGTCATGAACAGTTAACAAATGAAGATTAGAAATAATTTGTTAGAATGGGCAAGATGATGTGCTCCGGAAATAAGACGGACAGCCTTTTTTTGAAGAAGATGTATTTTATTTAGGTTGGAAGAATAGTTATTAGCCCAGACAATATTGCAATAACTGATATATGGAAGAATAAGAGAGCAATAAATGTTACGAAGAATATGTGATGGTAAAAAAGAAGAGAGACGATAAAGTATGTCTATGTTCTTTGAAACAATAATATTTCACACATTAAAACCATGGAAGATATTATCAACAATAATATCTTCCATGGTTTTAATGTGTGAGTCTACCCATGTTTTGCAGAAAACAGATTTGTTATTTATTTTTATGTTTTTATTTTCCCAAAGTTTTTTATTTCACAGATGCATTGTGACTGTTTTGCACGCATATTATTAAATTGTGAGCAAATTTTCTTTTTCTTTATTGTAGTTCAGAAAATTGAAGATAATAAATCTGCAATAGAATGTACTGAGAATTTGTCATATAACACTGTAAGTAGTTATTGTTATTATTATCATCATTACCACCATAAGTATAATCATTTACATCAACATAAACATTATTTGTTGTCACAGTAATCATCATCAACAGCATCCATCCTCACCACCTTCATCATCACTACCACTATCAAATCATCATCATCATCATCGTCATCATCATCTAATGTTCTATCAGACGAACATGATGATCTGAAACCACTCTAATTCACTTGCTGATTATACCTAACATCCATGTAATACAGTAAAACGTGCCTATAAAATAAAATCCAAAATGGCATTGTAAAATTGTTTGACTTGGATAAAATTCGACTTACAAATGGTTAATTAATGGAAAACACAACAATTTATCATAAGATCAACTTAGAAACTATTCGAGGTAAAGTCGACTTAGGTAAAGTTTAACTGTAGTCTCTTTTTTGTTACAGTACCATTTCTGATAACATTTCTATCTGATAGAATATAGCCTATATTGATTGATGTATTTAATTAGATTAATTATATTTCTATTTTTTTTTCTGAACATGGCACAAGCCATGTATATTTATTTCATTTAATAATTAAAAATTTTTACATTCTTTGCTTTGTGGTTTGCTACAGCTACTCTTCTTGGTCTATTGGAGATTACAGCGATTCCTATTGGAACATTTAATCCATCATCTTCATGATCTATTCGTTTTATAAAGACACCATTTTTATCAAATAGTTGTAGTTTATGATTACTTGATACTATTATATTCTCATTCATATCTATGATTAAACCACAAGGACCCCAGACTTCACCGTCTTCCTTACCACTACCTACAAGGATTTTCATAAGCTTACCTTTTTCATTATACATTTGTAATCTGTTATTTAAGTCAACAATCAAATAACCTTCTTTTGTTAAAGTAACATCTTGTGGTTTGTGCATTTGACCTACATCATTACCCTTTGAACCTATCTTACCAAGCAGTTTACCATCATCAACATTGAATTTAAACACACAGTGAGCTTCACGATCTGCTACATACAGTACTCTAGTTGCATGTTTACTGTCAAACCATTTGGGTATTTCAATACTCCTTTACCAAATGATATGATTTCTTCAAGTTTAGCATCACACATTACAACACATTTTCCTATGTGATCACTGTACACCATGTGACCATCTCCCATTAGATGCATTCTATTAACCATCACATCTTGTGGCATCTGTTTCCTAGCAACATATAAACCTGATTGGTTGAATCCTAATATGTTTTTACTGTAGCTTGATACTAATAAGTATCCATCTGTATCTAACACTACATCTGTCACATTTTGTATTTTATTCTGATATATTACCAATGGTATGAACAAGTCCCACTGATTCCACTTTGATATTCACTGGTGATCCTTTGATGCGTGCAGCTGCAGCTGTGATCTTCATTTGCCAATCACCTTCCACATTGCATCTACCTGTTATTTTGTACTCTCCACACTTATTATATTCTATCTCCGTAGCTGATTCTTCACCTGATTTGTTGATTAGAGCAGCAGTTAATTGACAAGCATCACTCTCTGTTGGACTTACAACTGTAACTACAAACGGTTGTTCTTTTGTGACAGTAATTGCTTCATCATCTTTAGCAACTTTGTACATCATGCTATTAACAGTTGTGAGTTTACCAATACCCTCTGAAACCATCAACTCATCTAAGGTTGTTGATGGAATAAAGTTTGGAGTAATATTTTTCTTTTTAAATGATTGATCAAAATCTTTCCCTAGGACCCTATGTCTGACAGTGTTGATAGTTATCTTGTGGAATTGAAGAGTTTCTGTTTCTTCTGGTTTGTTCATCATTTTATTGACTGAGGCCATCAGGTTATTTACTTGAGTCATCTTTGAACCAATATCTTGAACTTTACTATCAGTTTCTTGTTTTTTCTCTTTGTATATCTCTTCAAGGTCTGACATTAATTCTTCGCTTTTCTTTGTAACTTTTTTAATAAGCCTCTTTTCCTGAATTTGGATAGTTGTTCTGCATAGCTTTAGTTGAGATTCAAATTCTGATTTATCTTTATTTACGAGTTCTAATTTCTCTTTCAATTCATTTTCAATTTCATGCGCTAACTTGACAAATTCAGTGGCATCTTTGTTAAACTCATTTACAGCTGTTGACATTGGAATCACTTTATGTTGTTTTTGATAACAACGAAGAATATGTTCACAATGCTTACAAGCTGATTTGTAGCAAGTGGAGCAGTAAAATTCCAGTGTGTTGTTGCAATGAGCAGGGCATTTTGTTTGCTTTCCATCCTGTTCCTTCATGTCTAGTGTATAAAGTGGATCATTCTTAGTGGCTGGTACTCTCTTGTGTTGTTTGATACAATTACCTCCACATAGATACAGTTGACATGTTGAGCAGTGGTATGCTGGTTGATTGTCACAGAAGCAGCATGTGTTTGGTTTTTGGTCCTCAGTTTTCATAACATACTCTAGTAGTTGACTAATCATTGTATTTGAAGTAAGCTCTTTTAAATCATTTTTGTTAGGTCATGTTCTTGTCCACATGTGGAGCATTTCATCTTTCCATGAGTTTCCACCCATTTCTGGATACACTGTAGACAATAGGTGTGCAAACATTTCAGGGTCTTTGGTTGGTGAAACCTGCTGAGGCAGATGGCACACTCCAGATCTTTTTTATCCATAAACTGCAATGCTTTGGATACAACCTGAAACATCTATAAAGACATTACATCCCTTTTAAAATAATATGTTTAAATATTATTAGTTGCTTAATTGCTTTCCTTTTTACATAATGCATATGTGAATATTCATATTTTATGAAATAAAGGACAAGTTAGCTTTGTTGTAAGGACCATGTCCCCCTGATAAATTTTGTATACACAAGAATTTATGGTATTTCAAAGAAAAATAGTTACTATTCATTATAAATCATTTGTTTTTTTTGTAATGGTTTAAATGTTCAGATGTGTTAATTACATTTTTTTTTAAATTATAGTATATCGATTGGGTATTGATATTGTAATACATTCGATTAAATTAATTTGATATATAACAATATTATTTGAACATACAAAACAATACAAAAACCAACATGACACTCTGCTTTGTTATTTAAATCATTTAAGTAAAAAAGAAAATAAATAAAAGAGGGTGATGCTGTTTATAATTTACAAAGACAGGCCATAAAATGTCATTAAAGAACCAAAGTCCCAATAGTGTCTTCACATCCCTTATGTACAGTCTCCTGATGTAATCCACTGTGTGGACGAAAACTAAGAATAAATATATTGTTATTCTCAAAAGTGCTGCTGTCATTTTTTTTATAATGTTCACATATAATAAATGTTCAAGACCTTTGATAGAGAAGGTAACATAATGTCAGCAAAGGTAATAAAATAAATAGATCATTATTTAGGGTGATAAAAATTTTAGAAGTTGAAACTGAAGAAATTTCACATCAATTGTTAAAATGTCAGTTAAAGAAAATTATTTAAATTTAATCAAAACGTACAAAAATTATGAAAATAATTAAAATAGTAATAATAAAGAAAGTAAATATAGGCTTAATATCTCATAAATGGTACAATATTTATATGTTTAAGGAAATTAAACATTTAGTTTATCAGGTGTACTTTACTTTATAATAATATTATGTTCTTACCTTGATTTAAGTTTGAATAGTTTGAATTATTGCCTGTCGATATGTTGAATGAGGGCGTTTCCTGAAAGTAGCAGGAAATTGTGAATGAAATGAGTCAAAGCAAGACACCTAAAATATATTGGTTTTTTTTATAGCTGATAACAACTATACAAAAATTGAATTATCAGGCCAAATTAAAAAGTAGATATAAAAAATTAGCTTTCTAGGTGGAATAATACCGACACCAATGATGATGATGATATGAACTCATCGAGTAACAAGTGACAATGGATACTTATATGCAAATGATTTCAAAATTTTTTCTCATTATGAATCACTATAATGCAATTGATAATAAATTGGTATAGACAATACAACAGTGATCTCGAAAAGAGTAATTTTGGAAGTTGTGTATCATTAAACATAATATTTTGCACTCTGAAAAAAAAAAAACCACACAGTAGTGAATAATGCCATGAAAGTTTCCCATTTACTATTGAAATTTTGGGGCATATTTATTTATTTATTTATTTGAACATACACCTTTGAATCGGTGGCACTCAATATCAATTGGTGCGTTCGTATAAACAAAAAAAAGGGGAAAATTTAACAAACAAAATGAATAACAATCGACTGTAAATAATATTACAAAATTAAAGAAAGGTAGAAAAATAACATATGAAATTAGATGAAACATTTCACTTCGCATTTCATACTCAGAAATATTTACAGGTCAACTGTAAAGTAAATGCTTAAAATAACTAACCTACAAAATATAAAATCTAAAGATGAAAAAGTCTTACAACAAAAAGATAATACCAAGGTAGACCTACAAAACTTAAGGATTACAGACTAAGATGTAGTGTCCACTTGTGGTAAACAAAAAAGCATTCATGATGTATTTTTTACAGAAATTATCAAAAATAGAGGTAGATTCATCACAAATAAAAACTGAATCTCCTCCTAATACATATTGAAGTTTAATATCGTCATTTGTTGTTGAAAAAAGTGTCCATGTATCATAATCGTTACAAACATAGTGAAATAGATTTGAGAACTCTTGTGGTTACAATCTCACTGTATCTTGGGAATATTATAGGCCTAGATAGTAAACACTGTGGTAGGCTAGTTTAGACCTTTTGGTGTATATTTACATAGTAGACTAGTCAATGAACAATATGTAATCATCATCAGCCAATTTATCATTCAAATACTGTATATATCAAAAAAGTAATAAAAATAATACAAACCTGGAATATTTGGAAAGATTTATTCACTTCAGGCAGCTTGACTTCCATAAACTGCATAACATTTTCTACTGTACAGGACAGAGGAAGTTGCAGTACAGTACTCATAGACAACATGTTCAATAAAACAGACACATATCCTGGACTGAAAAGTTGACTACTTACACACAGATTCTTAATATTTAAGAGTTCTGATTTTTTTGATGTATTTTATTTTAAATTATTATTTGTTAACCATACTTTTGAGAAAGATGATCTCTCTTGGATTGGAAAATGGATTGATTGATATATTGAGTACATTAGTACCCTGTATTTTGTATTGACAAACAATGTGATATTCATGCTTTTTGTATTATAAAAGGTTATTGTCATCGTTATTTTAATTAGTATAATGCGGTTTCGATTGATCATGTTTAACAATAAAAAGAAAAATTAAGTAACAAAAAAAATATTTTGTTTTGATCACTCCCTTTCATTCTATAGTTGAGATTTTTACATGTGAAATAAAAGTATAGTGAAACAAACCTCTCTTTAAACTAATCTATCTGTTGTACTGTTCATCATCTAGTGGCATATATACACTTTTGTGTGGTGTTGTGAAGAGCCCTTTCGTGACCCTAACCCATAGGGTCCTCAATCTAGCACTCTGAACCAAACAGGCTTTGTATAAGAGGTGTCTCTTGGCTCCATAAATTTGTAAACTTCTTTTTTAATGGAGATTATAGAAAATTATATTCAATTTAAGTCTGTGAGTGTCATTTCCGATCATCTTTTGTATTTTATTCAAATATCTAACAGTGTAAACACCATTTCAATACAGGATGAACATAAATATATATGATAAAAAATGAAAAGCAGAACATTACACAGATCTAGAGATGCTATAATCATATATTTATTGTCCAAAACTCAGCACCAACCATGGTGGAGCTCAGGTTATGTGAAAGTCACTCCCTGCCCCCCTCCCCAAGACAAACATGATTTAAAACGAACATATCTAAAATCCCGCAATGGAGATAGCAACCAGGACCCAAGTAGAAACCCCTTCCCCATCTCAGAAAGCTATAGGGATTCCTGCCCCAGTGTTACGCCACTGTCATCGTCATTTTTCAAATTCTCATGACCATCATCATCATGATTTTGCCACAAATGCTAAATAATTGATATACTGTATGTATCTTTCCAAATTTATTCCATTAATGAACCACAATAAAAGTTGTTTAATAAAGAAATCCTAATGATTACTTGCAAATACACAATAATATTGTGACTGAAATGTCTATCAGTGTAGTCTAAATAACCATGCAAATATCCTTTGTAATACTAGTAAATTCAACCAAGATTCAACAATGCCATTATACCAACACTAATTATGTTCGTTACTGATTGGTTTGGTAAGCGATATTACTGTCAATGGGCAGTGAGGTCATGCAATTCTATTGGTACATCATACAGCATAGTATCGTCAATTGGTTTAGTAAGCGTGATTGCAACATCACTCTACTGTTAATTTTCCATACAACTCTATCAAAATTATTGCTATATTAGCATAAATCCCAATCCAAGGTCCTAATTATGAGGCTACCAACAAAGAATACCAAGCCATTTCCAATACAGGAACTCTGCACATTAAAATATCAATTAACCATTTAATGAATATAATTTAATTCTAGTATGAATAGATCCATTTTTCAATTGTTTTGCACTGTATCATGACAATGTAAAAATTGAGACATGTTAGTATCACATATTTCCTCAAGTACACGAGGAGGGAGAAGCTAAGGAGGAAAAAGGTTTGGTAACCACAAAACATCAAATATGACCCAAAAAAATGACAAAAGCAAACAATTAATACAATGAGCAATGATATTAAATTGTATATTATATTATTTATGATGATTATTTTTTTTATATTATTTTTAAGTTAAACAAAAATTTAAGTTTCATTATGAAATAACTGATGTACAGTAGGCCAAAGGAAAAACAGAGAAAATAATGTAAGGAATGAAATTAAAAGATAAATTACAATGCTACTTGGCAATAATAAATAAATAAATATGTATTGTAAAACTGAATCAAACATAAAAAAATTGATCATAGGAATGAAAGAGCCCTACTGAAAGTAAAATGATGTAAAGTGAAAATAATATATCACCGGGCTAAATGGTGAAATATAACTTTAAGTATTGAGGTTTTTTTCGCAGTATTTTATTGCACAGAAAGACAATATAAAATTAAGATTAATATGCCTATTCAGTTTTCTTTGTAAATCAAGAGGGCATGTGAGAAAATGTGGGAAAATAATTGGCCTGGACTTAGGTCACCAAAACGGGAGTCTCCCGGCTAAAACGGGAGTGTTGGCATATGTATACCATGGAGCTGATAATACCAAGGAGCATAGAACTGCAATTCTATACTCTTTGGTAATACCAGTACATAATTTTACTTGCAATTGTTGTAAAAAAAAACTCGCTCCCTAATTACACATTACAGATGAGACCACCTTCTCACAACATAAATACACTTTTTGTTGTTATGGTGACTCATCGAGCAACGTGAACATTTATGTATTAACATGTCTGTCCTTCTGTCTAACTCTCCCTCAAAATTACCATTATTTAGAGTTATATCGTATATTTGCATGATGCATATTCATCATCTATCTTTATACCAAATTACTTTAAGGTACAAGCCACTTGTGATATTTTTTTGTAATCATCACAATTGTCAACAACACAATTAAAATAGTATACAGTAATTATCTTTAATATTATCATCAACATCATATTCAGTATTATGATTATCATCCTTGGTTAGATTATTGCATCTAATCTATTAACCTTTGTATAATAATTTTAACTAATGTATATGACATGCAATTATTTAATTATTAATATCTGATGTTTTAATACAATTTTAGTAGTTAAATATTTTAACATTGTTGGCTTTGTGGTTTGCTACTGCTACTCTTCGTGGTTTATTGGAGATTACAGCAATTCCTGCTGGGATTTCTAATCTATCATCTAGATGATCTATTCGTTTTATGAAGACACCATTTTTATCAAATAACTGCAGTTTATGATTACTTGATACTATTATATTTTCATCCATATCCATGGTGACACTACAAGGACCCCAAACTTTACCATCTTCCTTGCCATAGCCTACTAAAATTCTTATAAACTTGCCATTTGCATCAAACATTTGTATTCTGCTATTTTCAAAGTCAGCAACAATCACGTGACCTTCCATGCTTAAAGTGACATCAAATGGTAGCCGCATTTCACCTGCTTTTCTACCTTCTGAACCAATATTACCCAGCAATGTACCGTCATCAACATTGAATTTAACCACACAGTGAGCCTCACGGTCTGCTACATACAGTATTCTAGTTTCCTTGTGTACTGTCAAGCCCATTGGATATTTCAATATTCCTTTACCAAATGAAGACATTTCTAGATATTTATCATTACACATTACAACACATTTTCTTACGTTATCACTGTACATTATATGACAATCACCCATTTGATGCATTCTATGAAACTCCACATCTAGTGGCACCCATATCCTACCAATAAATGAACCAGATTTGTTGAACTTTAATATATCTTTACTGAAGCTAGATACTAATATGCATCCATTGTTGTCCAACACTACATCTGAAACTTTATTTAATTTGTAATGTTGTTTATAATCTGATATAATACCAGTGGTATGAATAAGTCTTGGCGTCTCGAATCTGGGATTAACTGGAAATTCTGTGACATGTGCTGGATCAGAAGTTGATTCTTCTGATGAATTCATTAGAGTGGCAGCTGCATCACTCTCTGCTGGTTGTCTTTTAGTAACAGTAGCTTCATTTTCTTTAGCTACCTTGTTTGTAATGTTATCAACAGTTATAATTTTACCAATACCCTCTGCATTCATCAAGTCATCCAAATGCGTTGATGGAATGAAATTTGGTGTAATATTTTTCTTTTGAGGTAGTTGCTGAAAATCAATTTCTAGGACCTTGTCCCTGACAACATTGATAGTATTCTTATGGGATGCAAGAATTTCTTTTTCTTCTGGTTTGTTCATAATTGTATTTATTGAGACTATCAGATCATTTACTTGAGTCATCTTTGAATCAATATCTTCAACTTCACTACCAATGCCTTCTTTGTCTTCTTTATATATCTCTTCAAGATCAGACATTAATTGTTTGCTTTTCCCTGTAACTTTCTTGATAAGCTTGTTTTCCTGAATTCCGATGGCTGTTCTGCATAAAGTAAGTTGACAATCGATTTCTGATTGACTTTTAGTTAGGAACTCTAATTTTTCTTTCAATTTATTCTTAATTTCATACGCTACCTTGACAACTTCAGTGGCATCATTGTTAAACTCATTTACAGCAGTCAACATTGGAATCATTTTATGTTGATTTTTATGACAGGAAAGGATGTGTTCACATTGCTTGCATGCTGATTTGTTGCAAGTGGAACAGTAAAATTCCAGTGTGTTGCTGCAATGAACTTTGCATTTGTTTTGTTCATCTGAACTGCCTTCTTTCTCCTTTAGGTCTAGTGTATAAAGTGAATGGTTTCTCAATGACGGTATTATCTGGTGTTGCTTGATACATAGAGCTCCACATAGATACAGTTGACATGTCTGGCAGTGGTATTTTGGTTGATTAATGTCGCAGCAAGAACATTTACTTGGTTTTTGATCCTCAGTTTTCACAACATACTCTAGTAGTTGAATTATCATTGTGTTTGATGCAAGCTCTTTTAAGTCATACCTTGTCAGGTTATGTTCTTGTGCACATGTGGGGCATTTCATCTTTCCATGAGTTTCCACCCATTTCTGGATACACTGTAGACAATAGGTGTGCATGCATTTCAGTGTCTTTGGTTGGTGAAACCTGTTGAGGCAGATGACACACTCAAGATCTTTTTTATCCATAAACTGCAATGCTTTGGATAAGGACTGAGACATCTGCAAAGAGAGTTAATAATGCCTTCATTTTAAAATAATATCTATGAATATTATTAGTTAGTAATTTTATTGCTTTCCATTTAACTTAATACATTGTGAGTATACATATTTTCTGAAGATAATGAACCGACAGCTTTGATGATAAATTCTTTATACACAAGAATTTATGGTACTTTTAAGCAAAATGTTTAATGATTATCATAAATAAATTTGTTTACTGTAATAATGGTTTAAATGCTCTTACGGTATGTTGTCACACAGGTGTATTAATTGATATTTTGTTTAGAATTACTGTATCTGATTACATATTGATACTGTGATAAATCGAATTAAATTTATTGCGGGTATATAACAACATTATTTAAACATACAAAAAACACAAAACAATTTACAATCTGCTTATCATTAGCAAAACGATAAAATAATTTACTTATTTTATAATAAGACCTTCTTTTTACACTAAGACCTTCGGACACAGATCATTTTCATTTGCTGCAGCCACACTCTGGAATGCACTACCGCTTCACATTAAAAAATCAGCATCAATTCCTTTATTTTAAAAATCACTCAAAACGCACTTATTCCAACAATAACATGAAGCGCCACTGATAATTACTTCGGTTTTTTAAATGGCGCTATATAAGTTCTTACTTTATTATTATTATTATAATATTAAGTTCTTACCTTGATACAAGTTTGAAGAGTTCGAAGTAATGAATAATTGTTGATATCAGCAGTGTGATGGGTTAAATGTACAGTGTTTTTTTCTGAAATTAGCAGGGAATTATGTTAATGAAATGTTGAGTGAATTGTGTAAAGAGGAGCAAAGTCCAAAACAAGACACCCAAAATATATATATTTTTTTTATCTTATCAATGATAGCAACTCTAGCTACTACCTACCCTCAGGATGATGTATGATATGAATGTGAAGTGAATATATATTATTATTGAAATTACAATATTGTAACATATGTTTGATAGAATTTTTAGAATAATAGGCATGGACAATAGACAGTGGTAGGCTATTTTTACCATGGAGGTATTTATACATCCATGGTTTACAGTAGGCCTAGATCTTTTGTTAGATAGTAGACTTAGTAGTCAATGAACAGAATCATCATCATGGGTGTGTTAGAGACCTACCTTCATTCTCATTTATATCATCTACTATTAGTCATGAATCAAGTATACTCAATAAAAGCAAACCTGGAAAACCTGGTGAAGCTAAATTCACTTTACAGCAGTAGATAAATTACATCCATTAGCTGCATAATAATTTCATAGTGTGTACATACAAGGAAGGTAATATTTGAATTGTGGAATTTCCCATATGCCTCATAGTGCTCGCAGACAATGTTCTAAATAAACAGGGTTAACAAAAGTTAACCTCTAAAGAATAGGCTACTTGCTACATACTTAAGTGTTTAGCTCTGATATTAATATGTAAATAAGTAATAGAGTTATTTCATGTCAACTCAACCAGGGGCTCCACAGTGACCGTCTTGGATTTTGCTGAAATTTTAACCGAATATACTTTAAGGGGTATTATAAAAAATCCCAAAGTTTCATTTAAAAAAAATTCCCAAGCATTCCAAATTTATGGCACTTTTAAATTTTGAAGACAAACCCCTTTTTCAGACTTGCGATGAGCAGCGATATTTTGTTAGGGTTTTTGAAAGGCAATATTCTCATTTCTGGACATACTAGAAAGCTGAAATTGCTAATCTGGCTCAGTTTTGCCCATACTTTCTGATTCTGGCATCAAGCTCTGAATAGGCATTAAAAAGTTATGCATCTCAAATCAGTATTATTTGTTCAAAATTAATTATCTTAATATTTTTTACCTTAGGTTTATGGTCAACTACTGGCCAAAACCAAATATTTTAATGGAAATTAGTTACTTGGGATACAGATAAACCAAATGCAAGATTATTCAAATCAAACACCAAATCACAGATTTATGACAAGTAGGGCAAAACAACTCCTATTGTATTTTCCTGACGCAAACACATCAAAATATAGTCTTTAATATATGGATGTTTCCATTTTAATTTATTTAATGGAATGAATTAAAGAATTATCATCTTATTGGTAACCAAGATAATTTTATAAGTTCATAAACACTTAACCTCTACATTGGCAGGCACAAGAGCATTTTTTTTTTTTACTTTTGAAAAGGTGTACTCTATACACTAAGGCCTACTTCATTTTGCATAGCAGTCAAAGTTTGTAGGTAACTACAGTATGTTTCTAAACTTTCTATTTCGTTATTGTAGTTAAGAAATTGAAGATAATAGACCTGTCATGCAATGCAGTAGAATGTATTGAGAATTTGTCATATACTGTAACACTGTAGTAGTTATTGTTATATATTATCACCATCATCATCATATACGTATCATCATTTACATCACCATCTACATCATTTGTCGTCACCTTCATCATTATCAACATCTATCCTCACCCCTTTATCATCACTATCACATCATCTCATCTAATGTTGTATCAGATGAACATGATAATCTGTAACTACTGTATTTTACTTGCTGATTATATACCTAACATGTATACATATCTATCTGATAGAATTATAGCCAATATGGATTGATGTATTTAATTGTTAATTATATTACTAGTTTTTTTTTTCTAAATATGACACTATTATATCATGTATATTCATTAAACATTAAGAACAAGATAAGAACAAATTGAGGCTAGGGTAAAATATAAAATGAGGTTTTTATTTTTTTTTAAATAAAAGAATCAAAAATCTTATACTTATTTGCAGTAGGGGTGACCACCAAGGAATAAAGTGACTCTTGTAATACCATGGAGGAATAAGTTATGGTAATACCCTATAAATACAGTATACTGCAGAAAAATAATAATTTTATATGCTTGAAAAATGTTTAGAAATGTGAACGATATAGGAATATTTTAAGACTGAAACTGGCAAAAAATAAGAACTACTGGCAAGCAATCTTTCTTTTCTTAGCTTCTATACTTTGGGATTCCCCCCTGCTGATATTCATAATATCACTTGTCCTCAGTTATTTTTTTGCTCAAACTTAAAACCTTCCTTTTTTTTGTAATTTTCACTAATCAGTTCATGGGATTTTTTTTGCTATTTTTGTAGATTTTTTTGTTTTTTTAATGCATTGATTTGTTCTTTTATTACGACTTTACTAGTTAAGGCCAGTACTACTTTGACATCAACTAGGTAATAATCAATTCTAACATTAATTATCTCTGCACAGGCATCAGTATTCATGCAAAATACAGAATCAGTGTCTGAATTTTTTATTTTGTTTTTGTTGTGTCCCATTTTGTTTCATATCTATATAACTTATATATTTATAATTCTTTGTTTTGTTACTTTGGCAGTTTTTGTAATATTTTACTGTTTTATTTTTATGAATTGTTTTTACCACTTATTAAAATATTAATAACAAAAGAGAGTCGAATAGTAAGCAAAACTCAGATGTATTCTTTTTCCTTTCCAACCAACTGGTGGGGTAACTGCACAGTAGTGGCCACAGCAGGTTTACTACCAGATTCCTTAGCTAGGTGAGCTTGCCACACAGTCACAGCCTCGTCAACCTAAAATAAAACCCCCAAAAAAGCATTTAAGTCATTCAAACAACTAACTTATCTATGGTCACCTTGTATTCTGCCAAGAAGTATAAACCAAACACCATTTAAGAATTATTTCCAGTACTACCACGAGCAGCATTAAGAACACAGTTGAAATAGGTCTACTCATTTTTGACATACAAACCTAAATCGCACAGTTACCTTTAAGCTCAATGAGTCACGGGATTCCAACAATTGAAGCAACTCATCGTTGTCATTCTCCAACAACATTCCAGTGATCTTACCAGCTAGCTCTCCGTGGCTAGGCTGAATGATGCGGTATAAATGCTCACCAATCATCTGCTTCTGCTCCTTGGGAGTGGCCTGTGCTAGGCTGTATGGCTCCAGCCCAGGAACTTGGACAGCTTGTTGTGGAACATCCTAATTAAAAAGACAAAATACATTACTATCACTATATATAATATTACATTATTTTTCCCACAATAATATTTATAAGATAAATTGAAATTTCAAAGCTTGAAATTAAACAAGAATAAATTTGTAAATTTCTGTAGTTTTGGAAAAGCAATACAAAACATTCATTCTACAAATCTTAATTAGATTTTCTTACCATTATTTTCTGACTTTGCATTGTACAGTGCTTCTCACTGATGATGTATAATTCATTAGCAAACATGAATGCAATTTATAAAATTAAATTGGTGCATGATGGTAATTTTTAACTAAATTTTGGGAAAAAAGATGGTTTATTAATCATTTAAAATTCAGCGTAAACTCTTTTATTGTGCCACTTACCACAGGCATTCCAGGCGACTGACTAGCAAGAGTCTGATTGTGTACAGCATTAGCATACTTCACTTGGTGTTGTTGAGCTGGTACAGTAGAAATTTCTTGTGCGGCACGTACAGGGATAGCAGGCCGAGGGATCACTTCTTGAAAAGAAAATTCGCTATTAGTACAGGGATTAATATTTTTAAGAACTAATTATAATCTCCAAGAAGTAGCAGTTGTTTACTTCAAGCTTGTTTTAATTATGTTTTGCAACCCTAGCAGTGGCGAAACTCCTATATGCACTCCTGTGCAGCGGTCCCCACCCCCCCAAAAGGATGCAAAAGAGCCTTTTAAATATCGACTGTAGGACATACATCATACATATATCCAGTGATGGGTTGAAGTAGAGACAAAAAAAAATTGTATTCAAATTTTGTGTTTAGTGGCACTCTAGGTGTGTCATAAATGTTCTTACCTCAGCCCCAATCATGGTGGGGCTGAGGTGGTATAGACCCTCTATCTGTTAAACAGACCCCCACCCCCTCTATTCAAAATTTCTGGATCCGCCATTGATATCATCATTCGTCGTTAAAACACAATGACAAAAAATGAGCACATCTAAAAACCCACAATTGGTGACCAAGACCGAAAAGGGGCCCAGTCTCAAAAAGCCACAGGTCCCCCGGCCCCGGCATTATACCACTGAACCCTAGTGTAGCATCAATGACCCCAGTATTATACCACTGAACCCTAGTGTAGCATCAATGAAAAACGGATGATGTTACTGTCTACCTAACTACCTGTGACACGCTACTGGTGCTGCTGGGGAATAGGGACTCTGGTAGGAGTGGCAGTGCAGATAGCTGGGTTGTCTCGTATCAGCGCAAACTGACAAACACTTGGCAAGGGCTGGAAACCCCTGCTTGGTTGAACAACTAAAGTAAAATATCAGACAACTGGCAGCCTAAGGTTATTTCTTGTTGTTTCTTGCCATTTTTGTCACCTGCTTCTTTCCCTTTCATATTTAGATTTGTTGTGATGGCAATTAAGCGAAGAACTCATTTCTTGTGTTGGGTTCTCAGTGTTGCATAGGATGGCACATTTTTCTTGAATGCACAGGTTGCATTGCCCTGATTTGTGCATGTGTGTGTTTGATTTCTTTAGGATATCCCACTTTATTGCATATTTATGACCTTTTCTTTTTAGTTGCCATATGTGTTGCAATAAAGTGGGATATCCTATAACATGCATCCACACATGTGCAATTCTGATGACCACCATAGGGCACGAAACTCAGAGTAACAACCAAGTGTCTCTATAATGAGGCGATGGGGCCTACAAGCTTTCACACATCTTTGACCAACTCCTTAAACCTGAAAGCATAATTATAGATTAAAAATATGAAACATAACAAACCTGGACTTGGTTGGTTAGCACTCGACACTGGGTTTATGATTTGGGTTATCTGCCCTGTTGGGCAAAGTATTGCTTGTGGGTTCTCAACGGCTTGAGTAAAGGACCCATACTCTGGGTTGAACACCTGGTTTATCTGTTGCATATTCCCCTAAAATAAAAGAAATTGGTACATGTCGAAAATTTTATGCTGTATTTGTACAAAATGGGTTTGATCTACAAAAACAATCTTTTTTTACTAGATATGCTATAAATTATATGTAACATTTTTTTCAGACTTCTTTGGTTTACCTTTTTTATTAAAGAGCTTAAAAGAGGTTTAATTTATTGTATCAAACATTAGTATTTTGTTATTTCCAAAAGTCGGCAACAATTACATAACCTTCTTTAGTTAGAGTGATGGTTCCTTCATTTTAGCTACATTACTGTCCTCTGAAGCTATCTAACCCAGCAGTTTACCATCATCAACATTGAATTTAAACTGATCTTTATCTGTTACATATATTATAAGGTAGTTTCCTCATTTACTGTCAAGCCCCTTGGATATTATTTTTAGCATTCCTTAACCAAATCAACAGACTTCTTCCCATTTGTGATAATACAAACATAGAAAACATTTTCCTAACGAATCATTGTACAATGTGTGAACATCATCATCACCACCCATTTGATACATTCTATGAAAATCCACTTGGTTGAACTTTAGTATATCTTAATTATAGTTCAAGGGTTTGTGTGGGCCCCAGTTATGAAGGCAAAACATGAGAAAGATTGCGGTGAAGGTGCAAACTTTTAATTGGGGTGGGGGAGGCTGGGGACCTATCAATCTGGAGGGGTCCATTATTAGGGGACCCATGCATTACTGAGGGTTCATGATAGTAATTATTATTTTTTGAAAAAAATATTGAAAAAAAAATACTACCTGCAATTCTTATGGTCCCCTCCCCCCACGCCCCCTTCTGTGGCACTGCTAAAAACTTCAAAATATTTTTAAGGCTTCACCTGCTGGATCACTTTTGCCTGACCGTGCCTACTTTGCTCTCGTCGGGGACCTCAGATCCCCGGTCGGGCAAATCCTGGCGACGCCCCTGATACTAATTATAGGCCTCCATCTCTAAGTAACATTATGCATAACACATTAGAATCTTTTGCATTTTCTTTGTAATCTGATGTTGCCTGTCTTCATCTGTCAATTTACCATCCTGTGGTAGTACCACAGTAAAAGTACCATGGTAATACCATGGTACATTTTTGTAAGGGTGCTAATGGTATGAACAACTCCCAATAATTCTACCTTGACATCCATTGGTGATCCTCCCATGTGTGCCTTTCCAACAATAATCTTCATTTCCCAATCACCTTCCATATTGCATCTGCCTGTTATTTTGTACTCTCCATTTCCCTGATATTCTACTTCAGTGGCTAATTTTTGGCCTGAAGAGTTCTTCAGAGTGGCAGCTAATTGACATGCATTGCTCTCTGTTGTGACAGTAGTTTCTTCATCATCTTTATTTACCTTGTATGTGGTATCAACTGTTGTGATTGTACCAATGCCCTCTACAACCATCAAGTCATCCAAGTGTGTAGTTGGAATGAAGTTTGGTGTAATTTTTTTGTTTTTACATGATTGATCACAATCTTTTCCAAGGACCTTGTCTCTGACAGCATTGAGAGTTGTGCTGTGTAATTGAAGAGTTTTTGTTTCATCAGGTTTGTTCATAATTGTATTGATTGAGGTAATCACATTATGTACTTGAGTCATTTTTGAATCAATATCTTGAAGTTTACTATCAGTGTCTTCTTTTTTCTCTTTGTACATCTCTACAAGGTCTGACATTAACTCTTTGCTTTTCTCTTCAACTGTTTTAATAAGTTTCTTTTCCTGAATTTCGATGGCTGTTCTGCATAACTTTAGTTGTGAATTGAACTCTGATCTATCTTTAGTTACTAATTCTAGTTTTTCTGATAATTTATTTTTAATTTTATGTGCAAACTTGACAATTTCAGTGGCATTGTTGTTAAACTCATTTACAGCAGTTGATATTGGAATCACTTTATGTTGTTTTTGATAACAACGAAGAACGTGTTCACAATGTTTACATGCTGATTTGTTGCAAGTGGAGCAGAAAAACTCGAGTGCGGTGTAGCAATGAACTTTGCATCTTGTTTGTGCATCTGAACTGGCATCTTGTTCATTCTTGTCTAGTGTATAAAGTAGATGGTCTCTCAATGAAGGTATTATCTGGTGTTGCTTGATACATGGAGCATCACACAGATACAGTTGACATTTCTGGCAGTGGTATTCTGGTTGATTAATGTCACAGCAAGAACATTTAGTTGGCTTTTGATCCTCAGCTTTCACTACATACTCTAGTAGTTGACTTATCATTGTATTTGAAGTAAGCTCTTTTAAATCATTTTTTGTTAGGTCATGTTCTTGTCCACATATTGGGCATTTAATCTTTCCATGAGTTTCCACCCATTTCTGGATACACTGTAGACAATAGGTGTGCATGCATTTCAGTGTCTTTGGTTGGTGAAACCTGTTGAGGCAGATGGCACACTCAATATCCTTTTTATCCATAAAGTGCAGTGCTTTGGATATAGACTGAGACATCTGTAAGGAAAAAACATAGATAATTAATATTGCTTTAACCTTTTAAAATGTGTATAAATATTAATACAGTAGTTAATATTGCTTTCTATTTTACATAATCTGTATAATAATATTTTCTGAAATAATGGATCAATATTCTTTTAATTGTTATATACCCTTGTTAAGTTCTCAAGAATTTACAGTGCTTTTAATCAACTGTTAAAGAGGGTGATGTTTACAATACAAGGATTGCCCATAATAGTCATTCTAGATTAACTGTGGTCTTTACATATACAAATTGTTTAAAATCTGTTGAGAAAGAACACTAATATGTTAATGTTAACTGCAAAAATATGGTTAGATTATTAAAAAAATAAAATTTAATATAAAATTTAATAAAATTTAAAGTTAAAACTGAAAAATTACACATCTTGAAAGGACAGCCAAAGATTTTTTTTAAAATTTAATCGAACCTTACAAAAGATATAGATTTAAAATAATATAAAAAAATAAAATAAACAAATTAAAAATGTCTGAACAGTACAATTACCAGAAATTTAACATTTCCTGTTATCAGATGTAGCATACTTCTATAAAAATATCAATTTCTTACCTTGATTCACATTTTCACAGTTCTGAATACTTAATACCTGTTGATACCAGAGAATGACTGGTTGGGTGTTTTCTGGAATTACAGTAACTGGGAATTAAGTTATTATTGAAATGTTGATTGAATTGTGTCAAGTGGTAGGCTGCAAAACCTGAAGCAAGACACTATGTTTGAAAGAATGTTTTTTCCTACTTTGGCAGACATGCAGTTTTTTTGTAGATCTTGCCCATTTGACAAAGGATGTTTGCAAAATAAATGCTATATTGTTACACTAAAAATCTATACAGTTATTAATCAAATGCCATTTATAAAATTGGTAATTAGTGAAACTAAAAGAATATTAATTTGTTTAACAAATTTGTTTATTCATTTAATGACTACATTTTACACTCTCACTCTGGAAAGTCATACAAAAGCCTGGGAAGTTTTCCATTTACTGACTGAAATTTGAAACATGGTGAAATAGATGTTCAAAAGTCAATAATATCACAATGCCTTGTGAATCGATCATAGGCCTAGACAATAAACACAGTAGTAGGCTAGTTTTAGACCTTTTGGGCCTGGTGTATAATATAGACTAGTAATTGAACAGATAGTCATCATATAGAAGCTTTAGACACCTGCCTTCATTCTCACTTATATCATCTACTAAGTCCTCAATCAAGTATACTCAATAAAAACAAACCTGGAATACATAGGAAGCTAAATTCACTTTAAAGCAGTTAATAATTGGCATCCATAACTGCATAATTGCCTTCAGCCTGTACGTACAATACTAGTACTGTACTGCACTGGAAATGTGGAAATTTCCTCATGCATGACTTAGTTTTAGTTTCAATTTTTATTGGCACACACTTTTCCAACAGTGGCACACACTATTCAGTGGTGCGTCCAGACTAACTAATCAAAAAACCATACAGTAAAATTGAACAAAAGTAAAAAAGGAAACGCAAAGGTAAACAGAAAAATCAGGGAGTTTAACAAAATAGTAAAAGAAAGGAAAACATCCCAGAAATACAAAATTCAAATCAAAGTAAAAACAAACAGCTTTCCAGTAAAAAGCAAGAAAGAGATAAACAATTGATAAAAAAAAAATCAAAATCAAGATAATATGAAGCATAAGTGTACAGTATAATTGTACTTAATACATACACATAC